GTCTCTACAGGATAAGGACTAGGAGAAAGAGGGTGCATTGGGGCTGAAATGGATGTTTGAGACTGTAGGCTTCTTGTGAAGCTGTGCATGGATTTCTGGTTGCTTTTCTGGTGTCCATAGCACAAAGAACACCTACCCCCATGATTTTGGCACCCATTTTTCTTCTCTGGGGAAATTGTCCACCTGGAGGGGGAGCTGTATGGTGATTGCTGGTATTGCATCTGTGATTATTAATGCTGTGAAAGGCTTTTATTTGGAATTGATCTCTTATTGTGTGATGCCTTTGCATTTTTGTCCTGGCAAACATATTGCCCCAGACATGTCTAGCCTGATGCTGTTGATATGTCTGTGCTATCAAAGTTCCTGGAAAGACTTAAAATAAACATCACCTGCCAAATTATTAGTTTGCCTTTATTTCTCTTTTGTTAAATATATCAACAATGTCAGCACTCAAAAAACTCAAAGATATCAGAGCAGGAATAAGCAGTTGTTTGTGTCTTCAAGTTTTTCTCATTCACTATCACAGGATGACCTTGTCTCTTAAAAATCATAAAAATGTTGCTTGTTTGAAGGAAAGGAAGTTTGCTGAAGGGAAATGAAGTTTCGGGTTGTTGTTTTGTTGTTTCTTGTAGGTTTTTTGTGGTTGATTTGGGTTTCTTTTTGTTTTGTTGGGTGTTTTTTTTTTTTTTTTTCAAGTCTGAACTGAGATTTACAAGCAGAATGGAGCCCTGCAGCTCATTCAGAACTCAAATGCTTCCTTCAACTCCACTGGTATAAATGCAAAACAAATGCCACATGAATTATTACTAGTGTTTTGCATTAAAACTCCTAAAAGTCATTTTCCACTGGAACTGGGAGAAGTTCTGCTGAAACAATCCATGTTTGCTGTTACAGTGCCTGTGCTACACTGGATTGACACCTCTCTTCTAGGATAAATATTTTTCTAAATCTTAATGAAAAAACAGGTACCTTAATAAGTGGGAATAAATGTAGCTGCAAAGAAAGCATAAAGAACCCCTTTTTTTGTTTGTTTCTTCACCCTCCTTCCCCCCCCCCCTTTTTTTTTTTCCTTTTCCTTGTGACTGGGACAATTTATGCTTTTGCCAGGAGGTAGGTTTTTTTCCTCTCCAAAACACATACATGACTAATGTGAACTTATATTTATGAGATGTTGTGTTCTTAAACTCTGTTAAGTACCTCAGACTGCTTTTTAGCAGGGTTTGGGGTGTTCTCTTTTCCTGAACATACAGGAATGCATGTTGCTGTCACTGTCTCAGGTTGTGGTGATAACACAGATCTTGGGTTATGTTTTGGTTTCTGATCTCTTTCTTAGCCTTGTTAGGCATCTATACCTTGGCAAAATGAATGTGAGATACTGGCTTTTTAACTGAGCACACTTTGCAACAGTGCAAGCGTTTACAAAGGAACCTGGGTACTGTCAAGTCGCATTTTCCATGCCTTAGGAAATGGGAAATGAAGCAGTCTTTTTGCTTTATCAGACTGAATGCTGTGGCAGCATAGCAGATTATTTCTGATGAGTTGTGTGGACACTCCTGGTCCAGGCAAAGTGTCCACAAATCCCAGGAGCAATTAGGGAGGTAGCTTGAGGTGTGCAGGGTCTCTGAGAAGCAGGTTCTATCTTCATGTGCCACCTTGCACTTTAGGAAGCAATAGAGAGAGAGGAATTATTGCAGATACAAATAAGAACTTCAAAGTTAAAAATAAATAAATAAATAAAATCAAGGCCAAACAACAGGATTTCTATAAATTCCTCATCAGATTTCATGATAAATAAGGGGAACTAAAACTACTTGAGAGGCTCCTTTAATTACTCTGTCTCTGGAATGCACTTAAAATGTTGTGCAAACTCAATAAAATGGAAGATACTTCTTTAATAGGCATAAAATTATCTAGCAGGTCCCCCAGGTTCACAGATTCCTCCCACAGTTCTCCTGTTTTCTTGGTGTCGGAGCATATGGCGAATGAGAAAGTACCCTGAAAGGCCACTGGTCACTTTGGAAGGTTGCAGCATGAGAGCAAAACAGGGAAAAGAGAAGCAGTTTTGTTTGAAGGAGCTGATGAGTCGGTGCCTGAAATAAGAAACACTTGTCAAAAGGCAATAACAGGTATAGATGGATGTAAAAATGGTGAGTGTAGTTTTTTTGGAGTACAGTTATGCTAGAGCCAGTGATGCAAACATTTCCTGCCCTGTTGGAGGGGAATCTAGTAAGATGCAGGGCTGTGTTTCTAGTGTAAAGTTAAAGGACCTTAGTAGTGCTTCTGCAACTTTCCTATAGAAGAGACAGATTTATACTTGAGTCAGTGTAATGCTGTTTCTCACTGCAGATTATAACTCCAGTAGTTAGTAAAGGTCTTCCTTCAACAAACAAGAGAAAAAGGAAAATGGACGCAATCAAACAAAACAACCCTGTTCCCACAAAAAAAAACACAAAAAACTAACACCCCCCCCCCCAAAAAAAAAAAAAAAAAGGTTTGGCACAAGTATTACTAAGACCCAGGCACCAAGAAATCCCAAGATTTAATGCTTAAGCACATTATTTGCAAAGCAGAGCTTGTGGGTTGGTTTTCTGGAATGGAATAAGGTATAATTACATGTTTCTTTTTTTCCTTCCCTTTTCAAGGCTGCAAATGAATCTTCTTTTACATATCTCCTTGTCTATGTCACTTCTTCTGAGTGACTTCATGTCACCTGGGCCTTTAATCTGTCTAGAAATTAATATGACAAAACGGAAGGGATCGGGAAGCTGTTGTGAAAGTGGGGAAAAGAAGTATGAGCAAAAGCACAGCAAACAGTTTTAATGAGTGGGGCTTTTTAATCACTTTCTCCCCTTAAAATTTTTGTAGCTTAATGTCTGACAGTAACAATTAGTTGAACAGGTATAAAAAATATATTTTTTTCCTAAGATTTTTAGTTGAAATTCCCTTAAGTGTGCTGGAACCTGCATATTTCACCCTGGTGTGGTAAAAGGAAGCTCAAAATGCCAAGTGCCAGAAACAGTTTTGCTGCCCATATGAAATGAGTGTGAAAAAGAGAGGAGATTGAAAACACATGCAGATGAGCCCTAAATGTGTCTGTTTCCCCCCTCCCTCCCAGTTCCTCATAATTTTGGATCCAGACTCGTAATTTTTAAATGACTCTTTGATTCACTGCTCTTATTCTATGTAATGTGGCCAGAACTATCCCTTACAAGCCAGCCAGGGCTGTCCGTACAATTGAGTAGGCCAGTGCAGTTGCTTTTGGAAAGGCCCATTGAGCCCAGTAAAGGATTTTTGTTGAAAGTAAAGTTTTGGATGATGTTCAAAGCCTCTCCTGGAAGACTGCCCACTTGCAAAGTCTAAGCTACCTGTGATATCCCAGCCAAGCCACCTGTCTGTAAGTAGCAAGGGTGAGGACAAAAGTTATCCTTTCTGTTAATGAAATTGTTTTTCTGTGTATATTATAAAACTAGTCACTTGTGATAACTGTCATTTTTGACTAGAAAATATGAGAATGTCGCAGCCCTCTGGATTATCTGTTATCCAGCAAAGCAGCCCAATGAGTAAGTGTTATCAGCTCTTATTAATCTTCCCATAAAATTAAAGAAATTATGAAGCTTAAGGCATTCAGTAATGAATCAATTTTAATTTATGGGCTCAAATAAAATCTGCATTAAGGCTGACAGACTGTAGCCTCAGGTAAACATAAAGCATTTCCACTGCAAACCTAAGTGAGTTCTGCACTGGCTGTCACAATTTTTTTCCAGAAGAAGAGGAGGGTCAGGGTTACAGGAGGAAGTATCTTAGAGAAAGTTAATGCAGTTGTCTAGCCCTTAATGGTTTAGCCTTTCCTGGCATGCAAAAGCATACGATTCAAAGACTTTTTGTCTCCTTCCCCCTGTCCACTCTCCCAGCCCATCCCAGCTCCCAACAAAGAAGCAGAGAATTTCTCCCCATAGAACTTCACTTTACTAAGTGCTTTTGCATTCCCAAAATACACAAACATTTTATAGAGAGGTGCTTGTAACATGAAAGCAAGGCAAATGTGGTTTTCTGTGTACAAGCAGATCAATCACCCATGGATATGAGTCACATGTGCCACAGGGAAAGCACCTTGGAGGGTCCAACCTCAGTGTGTGTGCTATTAAGCTGAAAGATACTCATTGAGTGGGCAGAATAACTTCCTTCTCTGTGTGTTGCATGGCAAGACCTCCAGAGAAAATAATGTTGCCTACTGGAAAAAATACATCATCTCAGGAGATGCGTCTTTGCTGGGCAGAATGATGGAATAAGACTTAGACATTTATAACTAATGTGTGTTGGCTGTATATGTAAAACTACTATTTTGTGGTTTAGACAGCTTATTTGGTTTTGACTGTATTTTTTTTTCCCCACTTAAGTGTAGCTGTTTCTAATCTTTGCTTTTCATTAAACAAGATTATTCAAGATGACTTTTTTGTGGGAACACCTTTAGAAATATTTTATACCATGCATTTATTATACTTGCTATAAAATATACAATTTTTTTTTTTGCCATAAATGTCATTGATTTAGTCTTTGCATTTTGTTTGGTGGGGATGCTGTTATTTAAGGTTAGTTGAGGTCACTTTTATGGAGTTAGTGTTTCAAAAATTTTGAGAACCACATACCTGCAATAACGTTTTTGTTTGGGTTTTTTGTTTGTTTATTTTTTGTTGTTGGTTGTTTGGGGTTTTTTCTTCTTTTTTTTTTTTTTAAACATTCCTTTCAGTTTGGAAATAGTCTCCTGGCATATAAGGACAGCTTGGAGGGGAAGGGGTTGTGCCACTATGTCTCTTCTCTTTTGGCAAGAAGCTGATGAACACATTAGTATTTGCTACCGCTTTTGCCGAGCTTCCCCAGCTCATGCTAAAGTCCTGGCTTCTGCATCTTCAGTCCTGTTGATGCTGGAGGGGCTGCTCAACCTCTTGACCTGTCCTTCTGTCTGGACTGTTTTCTGACTCTCTTTTTGTCTTGCTTTTCAGATGCAGTAATCGGACCCAATGTGCAGTTGTCGCTGGCCCTGATGTGTTTCCAGACCCTTGCCCTGGGACATACAAGTACCTGGAAGTGCAGTATGAATGTGTCCCTTACAGTATGTATCTTGATACATTTGCATTTGTTTCTTTAATAGAGATCTGAGTTATCGTGGAGGCTGGGCCAGCCTTGAGCTTGTCTCTTGTTGCCCGAGGGCAAGTAAACGCTCGTTGACAATCCAGTTGTGTCATATGAAACTGAAAAATTGTTCTCTATGCAAGGTTTGTGCTTAGGTTAGAAATATCCTCATAGTGTTCCATGCTTTCCTTGTTATACAGTTTAACAGTGACATACTGCCTTTTGGAAAATACTTGGTAAGCCCCGTTAGTGAAAGCCGACCAGAACAATGAAGCACTATTGCTAGCTTATAGATTCTCTTTACAGAGTTTTATGTTTGTAATCATATAGCTTTGACATGCTTTGACTGACCGATATCCATGAAATTGGTGACATTTAATAAGTGCCTTAAATACTGTATTGTACCTCTGAGGAGGTAGAAAGCTAGTGTTTTGGGAAATCTGATGTTTGCTGATAGAAAATACTAATTTATAAGCTACCAAAGTTATGAAGGCAAATCACAGGCAAGTCATTTAGCCTGAATTTTTGAGGGTAGACAGACAGTCATGTGGGATTACAGCAATATACACTAAACAGGAAATGTCAGAGCTACAAAAAGTCAAGCGTACGTCAGAATTTGCTTTCTATAGGAACTGAATTTGTTAGATGCAGTTATGGTCCTACTGTCAAAAATGGCATACCTCAAAAAAGAAATAACAGTAATACTAGGAGTGCACATTTTATTTAGCAGCTGTGAAGGGCTGAGCAGTGAATAACAGTATGTGTAGGTAGGCCAAAGCTCATAGCACACCTCTAAAATAATAAAGCAGGTATAGGAACGGACATGTTTGAACCACAGAGTTGTATTGAGAGAGCAGCAGGAGACTTCAATTTGCTGAAACACAAGGTTTGGCTCAAGGGCTAGGACCATCTTCTTCATTGCCTCAAGCATGAGCTGCAGGAGAGCAGATGTGGCTGAGAAATGACAAGCATGCTGTCTGGAGGGGAAGTGGGAACTGAGAACCCCTTGGGTGGTCCCCATCTCTCATGCAGAAGGTGGCTGCCTGCCTGCTGCTGCAATGTGGAAAGTCTGTGTGGGGCTTTGCGTTTGTGGAACTGCATGGTGATGGGTGCAGCTAAGACTACCTGTCTGAAAAAGGAGGACCTTCTCTACTGAGGGACTCTTTCTCTCTGCTGGTGGGGTGCTCGGTGTGTCCATATTTGAATTTTCTAAACAAAAAATGTGATCGTTCTAAATGCAGTGATAGAATATTTTTTATGGGGTGCCTGCTATGAAAGAGTGACATCAGTGACATCATGACCATGGAAAAAGTGATATCAGGGGCTCAGGGTCTACCCTACTGAGCTCATGCCCAGTTACCCATGTGGAGGTATTCCACTCTAAATTAGGTCTTTCATTTTACAAGCAAGACTGCTTGTGGGGAATGTGAGGGGAGATCGGTTTCTGCTCATCACAGCAGGTTGTATTTCCTTGTGTTTTTTAATGTGCATGAGATATTCTGTTCCCTCCTGAGACTGGGCTGGTAAAGCAATAATCATTACCTAGTACCCCTCCATAGCTTTTGTTGCATATAAAATAAAGAGAAATAGTGGTGCCTTGTGAGAAAGGTAATATGTGAATATTATGCCCTGAGGCGTTAATCGGTCCAGCGTACAAGATGTAAAATAACTCTTGTGAGAGGCTGCTCAGTACCAAATGAACAGTAGGGATTCTGTATGTTTTAATGATCTGAATGTGGAGGGGAAAACAACAAGAAGCCACATTGCTTTTGCTATTAAGTTAGTAGCTTTGATGTCCGTTTTTTCTATTTGTTGATGAATTAAATGTAGTGCCTCTGTGAATAGAATTGAGGTGGGGGTGGAAGGATGGAAGAGGGGAGTGGACCAAGGGGTGAGCACCTTGTAAAGTAGGATCCCATCTCCAGGGATTGTTGATCTGCATTGGCTACGAAATTTAGGGTCAACAATTTGTTAAGCACAAGAGTATTATTATTCAGTGTAGCACCAGGAAGGTTGGTTGTGTTCAGGCAAACTGTGCCCCTTTATCTGCAAACGTGGAGCATGAAACCTAGGGCTCCTTTATATTCCTCTCTTACCTCAGTCTCTACCTGGCTTTGTTACCACCTCCTTTTCTTCCCACTGAAAATGGTCAGCTCAGCTTTGCAGGTGTTCCCCAGGAGTGCCCCACAAACAAAAGCCATCCAAGCAATGGAGAACATGTCAGCTTTGGAAAAGGAGGTCAGCAAGGGTATGGTCGGACCAAAGCTATGCCTGGTGTATGAAATCTCTTTCCCCCTTGCTGCCTTCAGTGTAAGTCCTTCCATGTTCAGCTTTCTTAGCATTGCTGCCCACACAAAGCTGCCTTACGTGGTGCTTTGCTGGGGGAGGGGAGTGGGCTCTGATGGCTCCCTAGCACTTCTCACTGCTGGGGGAAACCTTCCTTAGCTGCTGGCATTTCCTCAATGGCTGTGTGCACTGAGCCCTTAGTGAATGGTGGTGTCTGCCATATGGCCATCTCCTGAAGAAACACAGCAGTTGCATAACAAAGGAATTAATATTTCAGCAGGCACTTGTACTTGTGTGCAATTCCAGCTTGCTTCATCTGGTCGGATGGGTTACTCCTTACGGTTTCAAATTATTCCTTATGGACAGAGAGAGACAGTTGCTGGCTCAGCAGCAGTAGGGAGTGAGTGCGCATCTCAAGAGAGCAGCATTTAGGAGTCATCTTTAACAGATGTTGTTATGACTGACCTTAGGCACTTAACGCTCAATGCAGTGCTAGTGTATACACTCCCTTGGAGAAAAATTATGGAAGATTTAAAACTCCATTAGGTAGCCTGCTCCTCTTGTGATTAGATTCACTTGTTAACTCTTACACCACTAACTCATATCATTTTCAAGAGGAAAGCATCCCCCTTTCCTCTCAGGAGGGCGAAAACCAAACCTCAGTAGCTCATATATTTTAAAATGTCCTTTATATCACCCTTCACACTGCATTCTTGTCTGTTCAATAGAGATACCCCTGACAAGGAGTTTCATGAGGCTACAGTTACTCTGGACATGTGGGGAAGACAGCAAATGATTATGCAGGTAGCCTGGTCCTCTCCTCATTTTATCTTCTAGGCAGTTTATGTGATGGCAGATGCTGTCTACAAAAATGGACAGTTATTTAAGACCTATGGACTTTTTTTCCTGCTCTCTGACAATGAAAAGGAAGTGAAAAGCAGGTGATTTCAGCAGGTGAAAAGGTACAGGGCTTAATTTGACAGGCTTCAGTGGCATCAGTTGTCCTGTTTTTCTGGTATCAGGAAAAGTCAAATTAATGTTGTCTTTATCAAAGCAGGCCTTGGTATGTGGTGTTTATTTCTCCGACACCTGCTTTAAATACTGTCCCTTTTCTTCTGAAATTATTACTCCCATTTTATTGAGCTATCTTTTCTTTTAATCATTACTGGCCAAGAAAGCTTTTCTGTGGTTTTATATTAAATATGTATTACTGCAGACCTGCAGTTTGCCATTGCCAGAGCTCTGGACACATGCCATGTTACAGAGAGATGTCTGAAACTGCATTTTAGGCTGTGTTGCACTGTGAGTAAGTGTGACAAACCCCACTTTGTAAGTATTCCTTTGATCCAGTATGCAGTTTTTGTTTCCTAATGCATCCTTCCCCTCTTCCCTTCTTCCTTTATGGAGCAGTAAAGGAACAGGGTAATGAGAACAGCAGTGGTGGAGGTCATTTTGTGAAGCTAGGTCAACACTCATTGCAGAACACTTCAGTATCTTCTAAGGTGCTTGTACAGTCCTGTTGTCATGGTGCCAGTGCATCTAGGAGTGTAATTATTCACCTTTGTAATGTTACTGTAAGCAACAAGATTTTATATTGATAATCTGATAAATGTGAACTAACATATGGGTTTTTGCAATGCAAATACAGCTTTGGTATGCACACAACACTTTACAGCTCAAACTGTCCCTGTGTTAGTGGTCCTTCATGTATTTCTGATGTGTATAAAGAGAAATAGCAACCCACTAAAAGCTGATGAGCCTTCTTCACTCTCCTGAGCACACGCCCTTTATGGGCCGTGGCAGCAGCACTGCCCTTCTTGGGTGACACCCTAAGTCAGAACGGGGGAGATTTTTCCAATAGATGATCAACAATCTCCCACTGGCTTTGACTGAAATTTAGGGATTGTCTGCACTTAGATTTTATTTTGGTTATAAAAAAAATATGTGAGTTGAAAACACAGAGGTATTTTAGAGTGCTTTTTCTTTTAATTTCTCCCTAGAGACAACGGTTCAGGCTCACGAGGATCCAAGTGTAGTGTTGGAAAGAGGATTTAGCTAGCTGAGTCAAATTTACCTTCAGTTTTTCCTGAGCTCTCAATTCCCTTAGGTTGTAGGTTTTAGAGTTCAGGGAGTAACTCGTGCGTTGTGTCCTTCAGAAACACTCTGTTTTTTAATAGAGAGTTTAATTTAAAGTTTAGGGCAAGACAAAGTAGAAAAAAGGTAGGGGCTCAAGGAGGAGAAGCCCATTGCTGCATTGACAGAAAGGATGGCAGCAGCAGGAGGGAGTGAGATGGGTGCTTCAGGCATGGCATATATCTCACTGTGATGATAACTTGCCTCGCACCCAGGCGACAAGTCTTCCATCAGCTTTTAATCTGAGATCTATTCAAAGGGCTGTTTCCTGCAAGGGAAAAATGTTCCTGGCTTCTGAGGAAGGGTGAATCATCCTTCCTTTCCATTCTTCTGGGTAAACAGGCTAATAAATGTTACAAAGATTTTCCTGCTTCTTTCCTTAGAGAGATTTTCCTCCTTCCTTAATGCTAAAAAAGAGAAGGAAAACAACACTTGAGCATGGTTCATCTTTTCTTTTCCTAAAATTTGTTTTTTTCTTCTTAAACATTGAACCTGAAATCACATTTTCAAATTGCTGTATTGATGGAAGGAAAGGTCATTTTTTTTTTTTTTTTTTTTTTT